ATACAATTTCCAAAACCCGATGCGGCCCTCAGGCCAAAAAGTTTGCCCGCCCCTGATCTAGGGTGATAGGACTTTTGTTGCTGACCTCTTTGAATACGAGATTTGGTTCTAAAGTAGGACGGCTGCCTTTTATTGGACAGTTGAATTCTGACATCCAGGTTATCCTTAAAACAGTTCTCCCTAGCTATAATAGTATTGTTGTTGGGCCTGATTTTCTGAAAGGCTGATCCCCTGGACTTTGACTGGAGTTCTCAGCACTTCTGCAAATCTGGGTTATTATTTTTGCTTGTTTATATAACATATGGGGGGCACCATGTGTCTCCAGCCTGGTGACGCACAAGGATAAAAATCCTGCAAGATCTCTCCTTTCTTTTCATACTTGTTACTTCCGAGTCGGGCAGTTCTCTCTCCAACCAGCATTTTCTTAGAGATCTTTATTAGGCTGAGAAGACAGAGAGTCCAATCTCTCAGGCCTATGCATGCACCACACCCATCGACGGCTTCAAGTGTTAACTTAGGGTTCCAAGCCACTAGCTCTGCTCCCACTGACGTCAATGGGAGTCTGGCTGATTTCGGTAGGAGTTGGACCAGTACTGAGTGCTTTTCTGCAAATCCCACTCTCAGGGCTGCATCCTGAGCCCCTCTCTGACCAAGCAAAGGGACCATCTGTAGCTGGGTTAGAAAGCCTGTTTGGGAATTCTCCTTGTGGCACATAGCCAGGCTTAGGCCAGTTCCTCTGTGTAGGGGGCATGTTGGGGGCAACCTCAGGGCAAAATTCTTCAATGCAACTTTTTTTGCCAGTTGTCTCCTCTCAATTGTGTACAGGAACATCCCTGAGCTCTTTAACGAGCTGACACTTGGGCTTGATGAGTAATTAACTTTCCCTCCTGCCTGGCCCATTCCTCCGGCATGCATGTCTCAAGCCAAGGGCGTGGCAGGGGTTGAGGTTGTTAAAGTACGATTTCTGCTGTTAAGAATGAATCAACACCTGGATGGGGGAAGCCCTGCGAAGCGGGACAGTGGTGAAGGGGGCTTTCCCATGGTTCTGTGCCACCTTGTGTCTTTCAGCTGTTGAAAGGAATGTCAATATCCCGGCGAAAAGCTCCAGACAAAACCACGGATGAGGATGAGTCAGAAAGCGGAGACTGTGATGATGAAGACGACTGCAGCGGCGGCTCCGGAAATGGGGAACTAAGGGTTAAGAATCAGCTCCGGTTCTTAGCAGGTGACGAGAATAATGACTTGAGTTTTCGTTCCCGCTCTGAACGTTACCTAGTACTTGGGCACAAGGGTCCATTAACGCTGAACTTAATGGAATGATGCTAGGGATGAATCCGGCCCCGGGAGTCTTTTCTTCAGCAGACCCGTGGCAGATTTTTGTATGTAAGCCTCACTGACACTAGCAAGGGTGGCTAGAATAACCACCCAGTGACCTGAGAGGAGAGGAAGCTTTCTGGGGAAGTTGGCTGCTCCTCGGCTGTCTGTAAATGGGAGGTGGTTTGCATGGCCCCTCTGAGGGGACACCCATGTGTAGCTGATTTCATCGCCCTGTAGGTGTGTGGTATATTCCACAGCATGGAAAGGTGCAGTAGCCGCTTAGTGAAGGGAAAGCGGGTTTGGGGCTAATTCTCATCTACACTAAGGCCCGTGTAAACTGCTCTGACAGTGTAAAGGGACCAAGTAGATGTCAATATTACGTACGTTGTCCCTCCACTACTCCCCCAAGACCATTTACACAGCCTGGGAGGTGTAGGATGGCCTCCGTGTAAGTGAGAATCCGGCCCACTGTGTGTGGGACGAGGCCATTGCCTTGAAGTGGTGCGCCTCCTTTTTCAAGGCCGGTGTGTATGAGTCGGGTTCAACGGGAGATTTTAAATGTTGTTATGCACAGGTGGTGACCAAAATCCAGTTCTCTACCCTCCCCCTAACCCCTTGTGCTCCCAATACCCCGTGGAGCGCGTGACTCTGTGGGATTTTTTTTCTGTCTGGTAAAAGTATTGAAAAGAAGGAGGACCCCAAAGTGGATCACAACCCCATTTTAATGGGGTTGCCAAAGCTGGTGTTGGCCTTGGGCCCCAGCAAGTCTGAAACCCAAGCCCCACCACCCAGGGCTAAGGTTACATGCCCCCTGCCCAGGGCAGAGGCCCTTGGGCTTCAGCTTTGCTTCCTCCCCCCACCCCCACCACCACCACCCGGGGCGGCGGAGCTTGGTCTTCGGTTCCCCTTCCAGGGGCCGTGTAGTAATTTTTGTTGTCAGAAGGGGGTCACGATGCAATGAAGTTTGAGAACCACTGCTCTAAAGCAAACCAGACCGTTTCTATTTCAACCTAGACTGGTACAACTCCACGGAAAGCAGCAACTCCCACCACTTCCCTGATGTACCGAGACCAGAATATCCATTTAGGCCTGATCTGGGGCAGCTGAAAATTGACCTTTGGTGGAGCTACACCGACTTACACCAATTTAATTTCGTTTCGAGGGCTGTATGCTTCTCTTCCTAAAGACCAGACAACTGAACCTGGATTAAATCAGCCCTGCGGCTTTGAAGTTTAAGAGGCAAATTTGGACGCTTAAACTAAGCCCAGATGTTTATAAATACCCTTCCATTGATCTGGGACAATTAAAATATCCCTAACAGAGTGAGGGCTGAGAGATTTAATAGCAGCCACCTATCCAAGATAGTGTGTTTTACATAATGTGTAAATAAAATATTTATATTCAAATATCAGTTGAGACAGAAAAGACCTTTTTAAGTCCTCTAGCCCAACCCTAATTGATGTTAGACAACATAATAAAAATCAAAATCAGGTAAGGATGAAATGTACTTTCTTTCCTCAAATACTGAACCATCAAGGCCTATGTAAGGGAAATACAGTTGATCCAGCTATGCCCTGTTGTATCAGGCTCAGCCAAAGATGCAGGTTTCATCCTATATTAAATCTTTGTGTCACAGCTTCATGTTATTTCAGTGTATTTTAAATTTCCTTTCATGCCCTTTAGCCTAATAGTATCACTGATCTCTGAAGACATGCATAATCCTTCGCTACCTTTTTCTGTCTCTCTAGGCTGGTCTAATCACTGTCTTGATCTCCCAGATACCCTATCTGTCTAGGTGTTTATATCTTTCTTGTCACCCTGGTATGTGAACACATTAAATGAAAAAAGGAACAGAAGGATTCCCCCTCTCATTTTATCTGGCTGAAGGGGTATTTGTTGCTTACTTCTGTGGTGTATGGAAAACTGTTTAAATGACAAGCTATTGCTTTAACTTGTAAGGGGTTTTCTGGTCCAGTGTGCAGGATAGGGGGCTCTGTAGGGAGGCATGTGAACTGAGTAAATCTGCAAGGAGCCAGCCTAGAGCAAGATGGGGTGAGTTGGGGCCCTCTGCCTTAGGGAGCAGCCTGCATTGTCTCTCTCTGTTTTTGGTTCTTGTACGTTATGGTTCTGGATTTAAAAAAAAATGTTATGTTGCAACCTGACAGCAAGAATATTTAACGTTTTTATCTAACTTCTCTGGATGCCATGAACATTGCAACTTCCTTCCCCACAATAGCAAAATATCTCTGGTAAAGAGTGACGTCTGAGCGAGATGTTCTTGGCATTATGATCTCTTCAGGCTTCCCTCTGCAACAAAGGGTCCAGCAAAGCAGTTGAGCACATGAGCAGTGCCGTTGAAATGAATGGGGCTGTTCTGGCATTTCCTAACTTTCGAGTTCTTGACTTTGCAGCCTTAATGTTCTTTTAATGTAGCTTTTTGGGTGCAATATAACTTTAGAGCATTCATGCAGACTGGTTGGAGAAATTTCTGTGGAAAGATGTGAAATGCTTTGTGATTTGGGCTGAAAACCAGAAAAAAATGTTTTGACATCCCGTTTTGACATTTTCAGAATTACACATTTAGATTTTTTTTTGATGATTTTTTGTTTTGATTTTTGTATTTGGTATTATGTGATATTTATTACCTATTATAACCTCGGAGGAAATTTAAAAAGTCAAAATTGAAACAAAACCTTTTGATCGACCCTCGCTGAAATGTTTTCAGAACTTTCTGATATGAATTTTGAACGGTTCAGTGGCTGCTCTGATTTGAAACAGAGCCAGATTCTGAAATCTCAAACTCTTCCATCCTCGGCACAGCTCTGCAAATATGTGCATACAGCCAGGACTGCAGGCTTGTGCTGGTTTATCTCCCTGCCTACTGAGGAGGGTAAAGAGGCACAAGGAGGGTTGGTTTCTCAAATTATCGATGGTTCCTCTTTTTTAATTACTGGACACTTTTATATTGTTGAAGACGGGGGAAGCCTTTGGGTCCCAGAGTGTGCCGTTATTCCTCTGCATTGGGGAGTATTGTTAGGTTAGTGATCAAACAAGTCAAATAGCTTAAAGTGGATTTTTGAGGTCTTGTTTGACCCTTTTCTGGTTCAAAATCAGCGAGTGACAGTTTGGCGAGTTGTATTTCTTTCTTTTTTAACTTGTTCTCCAAGCCCATGTTCAGTTCAGCTGATACTCTCTTTCCTTGACCCTGACATCTAATTTGCCGTAGGGTCAACATGCAGAAAGTCAAAATGCTCCCAAGAAGCGTAAGAACCTTAAATAGCATGGTGGCTTCTCCCTACTTAATTAAATCACAAAAGGAGAGATGAGGCACCAGCGTCCCATTGTGGCAGTAGATGGCTAAAAGCCTGGGAAGACACAGTGTCTAGTGATAAAAGGCAGAATCCTGATCAGAAGTTAAAACAAAAGATGATCACAGTTTGCCAGCTAGGAGACTCTCCCTGAAAGAAGATTCAAACCAACTGACCTTTCAAGGAGCTTGATTTGATCGTATGTAGATAGTGGTGATCTAAACCTCTCCTGCTCACCCTCATATGTGGGGTACCTCTGGTTCTCGCTGTTTAACTGCTAACAGCTGCTGACCACCCCTTTCCCTACCAGCTGTCACCCTGAATGGTTTTGAAAATCAGGAGAAACAAAAACAAACAGAGGAAAAAAACATGTTATTTCCAATATACTAGTTGTGATTTATCTCCTGTTCTATAAAGTGTAACCTTTGTTTCTTATTTATAATGACCCTATAATAGCGGCATGGTCAACTGAAACCGTAATGATTTAAACATACTTGTAAACTGTCAAGTCAAAAGTTTGTGAGTGACTATAAGCATATGTTGGTGAGCTCTATATGCTAATAAATTCATTATTATGTTGCCCCACTGGAAAAATCACCGAGATAGAGGGGTTTTATGATGGATCTTTTATCCTTTGTCACATCTGCAACACATTAAAGATTTTGAAGGCAGATAATGTTTACAATAGGAGAATGATTGAAAAGCTTCTAGATCAATGAGTAGCACTTCCTGTTTTTCAATGGGAAAGCCCTGGCATCTGCACCATGTCCACGTAAACCCTAAAATAGATCTGTACACACACACACATATACTTACGCCACACCAATGGCAAATCATGTCTACGAATAAATTATAGTATTCCCCTGCAAATTGCGAGGTACCGCCAATGTGTTCCAGAGTCGTGCATTCACCCACTTCTGAAATCAATCATTCTGCACTTGTACCCAAAGCAGACAGGCTGGTTGCTAGCTGGCAAACTGCTGACATTCCGAATAGCCACCCACTAATTAACTCACCTCTGGAATTCTCTGTCAAGATGCTACTTATAACCAGCCAGCCTGCTGCCAGGAGCCTGAAAATAAAACATGGACACTGGGGACAACACGCTACGGCGAGTGGCTTTGACGTACATGGAGTGTGAAGATCGCCTTTCGCTGTGTTCACTGAGGATGGCGGCCTAGCACACTTCACTTGGCCAGGGGTGACTTGGCAATTGCAGGTTGCCTGGACAACAATGTCGGAGCACCCCCCAAAATAGCGATAGCCAAGAGGGATAAATAGGACCCATCTCCTAGGGGACACTTAGGAACACACCTGCCATTTGGAGCAATCTGGCGGATTCCAAGGGGGGATGGGGGAAGGGAAGGTTCAGAGAGAGCCAAAGTTGTCCCTGGAAGGGAGAAGCTGAGCAGTGAAGCCTGTCCTGGGCATGGAAATCGGCTCCATCCCATCTGCAGTTCAGACAGCAGTAGGGGTGCGTGGGAACAGATATTGACATAGATGTGTGTGATAATATCTGCAGCCTGTGTATAACAGCGCCACCTGCTGGCTGCTCCTGCTGCACCCGTGGAGCTAATTAATCCCCTTTGATCATGCCGCC